AGAAACAAAAGAAAGACCTCTTGATCTTCTAAATAGAGACATGCTACACTTTAAAAAAAAATCCTATATAATAAAAGCCTAATACGCTAAGTGTCCGGTTGTCCAGTCGGCCGTTCAACCAATCAAAGCATAATATGCTAATGATATGCTAAGGCCGCTCAACTGCTCACTATGACATGCACTGGCCACCAGGGGGCAGACCTCCGACCTGTAGGTTAGCTTGCTGCTAGGGTCCAGCCGATCAAGACTGAACGAATCAGGTCAGACATGCCCTGGAGCCTTCCTGCGGCCCCTCCCCAGCTGGCCAACCTCCCGTGTCCCTCCCCAGCTTCGATTGTGCACCAGTGGGGTCCCTCAGCCTAGCCTGTGCCCTCTTGCAATCCAGGACCCCTTGGGGGATGTCAGAGAGCCGGTTTCGGCCCAATGGCAGAACAACCAGTTGCTATGATGCACACTGACCACCAGGGGCAGATGCTCAACGCAGGAGCTGCCCCCTGGTGGTCAGTGCACTCCCACAGGGGGAGTCCACACAGCCAGAAGCCAGGTTCATGGCTGGCGAGCGCAGCAGCGGTGGCGGGAGCCTCTCCCGCTTCCGCAACAGCACTAAGGATGTCCGACTGCCAGCTTAGGCCTACTCCCAGTGGGGAGCGGGCCTAAGCCATCAGTTGGACATCGCCCAAGGGTTCCCAGACTGCGAGAGGGCACAGGCCAGGCTGAGGGACCCTCCTCCAGTGCATGAATTTTCATGCACTGGGCGTCTAGTAGCTTAATGTTTGAGGATCTTTTCACTGTATAGTCAGAGTGCAGCTGTTTAGGGAAAAGGTTAAAAAATCTCATCAGCAATTTAAGGGTGTGTCAAAATATAAAAATTATCATGGCTGTAAAAATTAGACATTGCTTATAAAAACAGCTTTATTTTCCCTGTTAACAGAAATAATTATCCTAATAAAAATAGAAAGTAGAAAAAAGAAAATCAAAATCACTACATCCAGATAAGCACTTAAACATTTCACTGAACACACTTTCAAACCCAAACACACACACACACACACACACACACACACACACACACAGATAATTTTACATAAATTGGACCATGCATATAATGCTAGTTTGAAATATGTTCACTCTGCTCCTTTAAAAGTCAGGGGTATCTTTTCATTTCAATAAATGCAAAACAATATAATCATTTTAATGATATAGAATACTATATCATAGAATGCTCCATAATTTAACAAATCCCTATTGTAAGATATTATTCTTGGTTATTGTCTTTTTTGATACAATACACCTTGAAAAACATCCTGTGCTAACCTGTTTACCAACTTGCCCAATTCCCTCCTTAAGGTAAATTCTACAATTAATTCTAATTATCTACAATTAGAAGTGCTGGCTGAGAGACTATAGATATTTTAAACTCAGACCTAACAGAAATTTGCCTAACGCTTATTGAGAGCAATTTTCCAGTATTTATTAAGATTCTTAGAGGGGCCCTGGTGAGAGGGGGTGGTCTGCTGAGCTGTGGGGGGCAGGATGGCAGACTGAGGTCCAAAGGACAGTGTCCCTGCGATGAGGGAGGGGCTGCAGGGCAACAGAGAGAAAAGGGTATGTGATGGGCACAAGTCACAAGGGGCAGGAGAGTTAAAAGCACACCCTCGGGGTAGTTTGGGCGTAGGTGGAAAATTTGGTTTCCAGAAAAGAGGAGCAGAGGGATTGGCAGTTGAGGTTGCTAAATCAAAGAGCAGAGGTTTTTAACGAACCAGTGTGTCTGGCTTAAAAGGAAGTCCTCACCGAGTGAACAGCAATGCCTCACACCTGGACTTCTGCGCACCCTGACATGTGCGAGGACCGGAGATCCGCAGACCCCCACAGGGCACAGCCTGGTGCAGGAGCGATCATCTCTAAGCCTGCGAAGTCAGTAATCAGCGCCCCCACCCTGTCCTCAGTCACTCAGAGACAAAAACACCTGCAGAAGACCACCGCTAGCCCACCTGCTACAGAGAGTGAGCAACAGGACGCTCTGGGAGCTGTGATAAGGAGGTGTGGAGGAGCCGTCTCAAAAGAGAGCCATGGACAGCCAACCATGTTTCTGTATCGCACACCCTAAAGAGGCCCGCAGTTGGGCATGTTTAATACCCCCGTCGGGAAACTGCAGCGGCAGTTGTACGAGGAGGAGTATACTACATTCAAGTATGCACCGATGTTTGAGAGTGACTTCATACAAAAGAGAAGTGATTGATGTGGACAACAGTGACCAAATAGTGATGGTGGGCATTTGGATGTAAAAACCCTAAGTGAAGAAATGAAACCCTAGAATATACATATTTGTTACTTAATTCTGACAATATACCAGGGACTATGATGGCATTAGACCTTGGATGGTGAGCAATACATACTCCTTACTTTTATGGAACTCACAGCCCAGCACATCTACACTAATAAAAGAGAAACATGGTAATTAGCGTACGACCGCTACCCTTTTCATTGGCTAATCAGTGAGTATATGCAAATTAACTGTCAGCCAAGATGGCGGCCGGCAGCCAGGCACTGAAGCGAGCATGAGGCTTGCTTGCTGCGTAATCCAACTTTCCCCGCCTCACTTGCCAGCCTCTCAGCTGCAACTCTAAGCAACTATGTACTATGTTGCAAATAAGAAGCTAAACAAAACCAAAGAAACCGGCTTCCATTCAGCCGGACTCGGACCGCAACATTGTATCGATGTTTTCAGCAGCGAGGCCTCAGAGCTAAAGCTGGCCCAGAATGAAAAAAAAAAAGAAAAGAAAAACAAGGAGCAGTTGGAAGCTTTAGTCACTCGCCAGCCGGAAAACAGCCCTCAGCCCCTCACCCAGACTGGACAGGCACCCCAGTGGG